TATGAGCTGCTTTGCAGGAGCCATCCTGTCTCCTCTTCTGGTGGGTGTTGGAGACACTGTTTTATTCCCTTTGTGCAGTTCTTGTGGCAGTGGGCTGGTCAGTCATGGGTTCTGCCAGAGCAGAGGGTTTGGAGGAAGCAGCTCAATGAGTGTAGCTGGGCTGTGAGCTAACTTCAGGTTCGAGGGTTCACGGCAGTCTGGTTTTGAATTTGTAACCTGTTCAGGGTGTTTGCATCTAAACACTGTTGTTATTACTCCATTAACTCTGAGGTCTTAACAAGTTTATCTTTTCCCAGGCAAGACCTCTCCTGAAAATACAGTATCACTCATGGAGAGAACTGTGTGGCTCCTCAGTGTTGTTTCAGGGAAGGGTTTTAGCAAACCTTTCTTGGCATTAAAACCAGAAGTGGACACCTGATGTACAGTAACCTTTGACACTGATGTGCTCATCTGTTGCTGGGAATGTTGTCTTGGCTGAAATCTCTGATGTGCAGCTGGTGGGAACAGCCAAACACAAAATGTTAGCAACGTGCACTGAGGAAGATCAGTGCTGACTGCAGTAACTTTCCTCAAGATACACAGATGCACACAGAGCTTGGCTATACCACCAAAGCATCAGCAACTTGGATTTCAGTTTGTAAGCACCCCCAGTACAATGCAGAGAAAGTTTTAGTTGGATACAAAACTAATTAAATGCTTCAAAGTCCTGTCTTCTTTTTCTCCTGAAGCAAGGAGGGCAAGTTGTGGCGATGTGCTTGTGATAGAAACAGTCTGGTGCTATGATCACTCTCAGTAACTTGCCAGTGTCACTCCGTTCCAAAATAAATGGGCTGCTTTAAATCATTCTGAAGTTGCTCATGGGAGATAGAATAGAATATTCTATTCTAATTCTAATAGAATGTCCCATATTTCTGGGACATTAAACATTATAATCATGACTACATGATTATAAACATGAGTGAATTTCTTTATAGTTTATTAATGGTATCCTGGACTTCCACTAAGCAACTTAAAACCAAAACCAAATCCAAACTAAGTAACAAAAAGATTTGTTTGAATATTACTGATGACTTTTCTTCATTCATAGGGGGAGAAAATTTCAAGTCTGAAGAGCATTTGCATAGTGGATATTTTTAGGATAACCTACAGCAATTTTTTAGAATTGTATTTTTAGGAAATTTTAAAAAAAAATCTCATCTGGATAGTTAATACTTGAGTATCTGAGTTTGAAATTAAATTGTGTATTTACTGCTAGCAAAGTGTATAAGGCTTGCTTCCATAATCAGTTCAGGCAGCTTTTACACTGCCTCTACTCCAGTGGAAGCATATTCAAGGATGCCTTTATTTCAGCAGCATTTTGTTGAGCTTTTGTTTCATTTGAGTTACACAAAGCTTAGAAACAGTCTTTTGTACTTTTAAAAAGGGAATGAGTCTGAAATAGTTTTTGATTAGTAGAATATGTTATGTATAGTTGTACTTTGAAGCAGGAAAATGTTTATGTTCTAGGAAATGCATCTTTAAAACCATTTTGTCTCCCATAATTGTGCTATTTAAGCAAATCATCTTTTAAATAGAAAAAATAGGTGAGAATGTGTTTGGGGTTTTGAGTTGAATTGTAGTAGCAGATGCATGCCCACTGAAATGTTTTAGGCATCTGGATTCTGCTTGCCAGGGGGGACCAGGCTGGGGCTGTAAGTAGGATGTTTCACTGTCACTGTGATTTCAGAGACATGGGTGGCTTTCATATCTTGGCTTTTATTGTTAGACTGTTTTTGAGTCTCTTTCATTTACCAGAATGTTTTAGGGTGTTACATAGCATTTGCACACCTTTGTTTTCTGGAGGAAATTTATTCTCTAGGGTATCTGTTAATGAGATCTTATCAAAATAGACACCTTGTGCTTTATGAGAACAATTTGTCCTTTTAACTACAGGGGTATGATACAGAGCAGTAGGTATGTTATGGAGAAACTGCCTTTGAAAAGATGAAAAACATGTTGAAAGGAGGTAAAAACATCACTTGACTTGCTGGTGAAACACTGAAGCAAAATGGTCTTACCAATCAGTCAGGCTCATTAACAGTGAAGGGAGAAGAAAAATGTGTTTCCATGGAATATAATAACTGCTGGGCTGATAAATATTTTCTCCCTCCGAACACTTCTGGTTTTACAAAACAAGCAGTGTTACACCACCCACATACCCATGAAGCTTAAAGTCCTAAATACAGAATTTGCCTTCTTTGTTTCATTCCAATTACTTTACAGAAAATGTCAATCCATGTGCAACTTTGTGTTTGCTGCTAATGACTGAAACCAGTCATGTTTTTAATCTTTTTGGGTCTTAGCTTCCCCACATATGAAACACAAGAAAGAACTTCCAAACTCCACCTGTGTGTAAGAAGACAATTTTAATCTGTAAAATTCTGTAAGAACTGATTTTTTTCTTCATATTGGGATATTTGCCTGTAGCCTCCTGTCTCAAAGCATGGTCCTGTAGTATTTAATAAAATGAGAATTAACTAATAAATTACTGGAAGGTTTTAAAGAGAGTTTCATTTTTGGAGTACAAATCTGCTATCTGTCACCTGGACAATATTGAGGGGTAATGGAAACTTGTTGCCTATCTAAATCAGTTTTCATTAATACATCAGAATAAGAAATTGGTTTTATTTTTGGCAGGGAAAGAAAAATCCAGTAAAAAAATCAGACTGAGAGGTGGAATTCATTATCTTATTTCCAGCCCTCTCCCTTTTCTTTCTTCAAAAAGGATCAAGTTGTAAAAACAATTGGGGATTAAGATTTGTTTGCAAAATAATATTAGCCTGTGCTTACAGCAGTAGTATTCATTGGCTTGATTTCTCCATTTTACTTTGTGGAAGTATAATTCATGTGTTTTGCATATAGCAGGTACATGAAGTTGTAGACTGAAGAACATTCCTAGTTGTTCCATTCCATCTTTTGCTATTGATACAACCAAATCACGAAACTGCTTTCATAAAGATAATGCTATCCACAGTACTGTGTAGACCTGGTGAAAATTCTTTGCCAGAATTGTTCTGTTGTTTCTATTTTACTTTGTAGTAGTGTAGATCAATGATGTTAAAGGCTATATTTTCTTGGGTTGCAGGTATTAAACAGGTACTGAATTTTCCTTAAAGCTGTATGTCAGCATGAGGAAAAGCCTCCTGCCGTAGGAGAAGGCAGACAGGGAGCAGGAGTGCCCTGTAGCTCTGTGTTCCCAGCTGAACTGCAGGAGGCATAGGGATGGAAAAGCTACTGATGTTCATCACCTTTGCATACAGGAGGCTGCCACTGCAGCTGAGTCTATGCCTAAAGTGATGGAGGGATTGTCAGCATAAGCTGGCAATATGAAATCTGTCTGTTACTTTGAGAGAATAGTCTTTTATTGGTTTTACAGAATTTGGCAGGCTGAGTTTGAGAAGCTGTTGTTTAGGACTAGGGATCAGGGTCAAACAAGGATGAGGTGTTTTCCTGGAAGAAGTTAAATGCTTCACTATACCCATGTTTATTTTTAGAGTGAAATTACTTTATGACTTCCTAATGAGCTTGAAAGTTGACAAGGATTTAAGCTGTGTCATGAAATACCCTGAATATTGAGAGATGGCACACTAGCTAGTCTGAAGTACAACTGTCCAAGCCACTAGCAGACAATTTCACCTAGTGTACTGTTTATCTGTCTGATTAGAATTGCTATCCCCCTAGTTAATATTCACAGAAAGCAAAGTTTCTGTTTAAGGGCACCCTATGTTTCCTTATTCGAGATGAGTGTGAAGAAATATCAGGAGATATCCTGCCTTGCATTTTGAATTGTCAGGAGGAAAGGGAGCCACTGCTGTGTTCTGATTGTTTGTGCTGTTTTCCCATTGATCAACTAAATTGACAATCAGCTCCACTGTCCTGAGCAATGTGGTTTAGAATAACCAGAAATATGGGCTATTTACCAGCAAATAGCAATATCACTGAGTGCCAGTGCAGTTCAAATTGTGGTTCACCAGCAAATTTCTGCAGGAAAAGGCCAATCATGCCTTCCTTGTACAGTACCAATAATCCTGTGATGGGGTTATCATCTTTTCAAGGCTCACAGAAAGGTCTCCGCTGTTTTCCAATGAGATGCTGGGATACTGTCCATTTCCATTTCCTAGTGTTTTCAACCATCCTAAAACTGAGAGAAATAAAGAATCCCAAGGGGATGACCTTCTTTGGCAGATGAAGATGAATCAGTGTGTCCAGCATGAACAGTCTTGTCCTATTTCCCTGTCTTTTCCCACCTTAGATCTAATAGAAATGGTAACACCTGGGTTGCTGGTAGCTGCAGCGTATCTGTGTGTGTGTGAATGTAACCATTCTGCATTTAAAAAGGAAAATGGAAACTTAAAGAACTGTTAAATCTGAATTAAATATCTTTTAAAACACGTGAAGGTCGCCATGTGCTTCTGATTGCCCCACCACAAGCTTGTTGAAAATTGGTTTTGTTAGTTTGTTTTCTCCAACAAAATACCTTATTTGTTTGGCATCAGGCTACTTTTTGCCGTTGGATTTGTATCACTGTAAGAAAATGCAGAAGTGAGATTTAAAGAAAGCTTCAAAGAAAGACAAAGGTTACTTGGAAAAATTGCTTCTAAAATTCAGTGAAGTTTAGGTATGTAAGCAACCTTGACGCAACTTGTCAAGTATAACTTCTGAGCAAGAAAGGTGGAGTATTGTGGATGCAAATAAGTAATGGACATTTTGGGATAACTGAACTATAATCACTTTATGAATCAGCAATCCTTAAAAATCAGTTAAGTGTTGTGCTTTCTATTGGTACCATTCAACAAATGAAACATTTTATTAAATGAATAATGAAGAGAGGAGCGACTCAATAGTTTTTTTTAACTCAGGTCATGAGATGAGATGGTCACTGAAGGTCTAAGTACTCTTGTTTGTTTTCTCAGTAGTACACTGTATTGAAGACTGTTGTCGATCATTAATTCTTCTTTACGATGCTGAAGGTAGGCTTGGTCCCATGCTCTTGTAAGTCCTTAAAGGCTTCCACTATTTTCAGCAGCCACTGCTTGCTCTTTGTATCACCAGTAATGCCCATTAACTGGCAAAGTGTCTCTGTGGGACTGAAGGTACTTCTAAAGGTAAAAAAGGGAAATGCAGTATTTGCGAGAATCTAAAATACCATGCAGAACTTGCCAGGCAGTTTCTGCACTTACATACCTCAATTACTTTCTTAAAATCTATTCATTGCCATTTTTTAAATGTCCTCTTTCCCTCAGGACTCTATTAAGTGGCTTCCCAAGTCTCCTAAACTGTACAGTGGCCATAACTGGAGCTCCCAGGGCTCTCGCTGGGCCTCATTGAAAGGGAAGGAAAGTTTTCGTGGTGGCAACCTGTACAAATTCAGCTCTGCTAATGGAAAATGGATAGAAGGAAGGATCAGTCCTGAGCAAGAAGCAGAGGAACTCGAGGATCCTGATGATGTAAGTAGTTTTAAACTTGGGAGAGACAGTGTGTATCTGTGAAGAGGCTGTAGCTGCTCACACTGCTGTGCAGCACAGCACTTTGGCTTTGTGGAACCTGCACTGCTTATACTCTCAGGCCCTTGCTTGTGCAGAGGGTACAGAGCTATGTTCAGTGTTTCATTCCTTCACTTTGCTTGCAATTAATTCATCCGACCCTCAAGAGTACAGTCTGACCTGCAAGTTAAGATGAGTGACCTGAGCAGTGATGAGACATGTTTTTTACTTTACTCCTGCTTACATCCACAGTTACCAAGCTCCCTCCATCTCTTTCAGGTAAGCAGGTTGCTGGCAGCACTAGGGGCTCAGCATCTCCCTAGGCCTGGATGGTAGAAAAGTGAGGTTGCAGTGCTCCTCCACTGCATGTTGATTTTGGGTGCTGCTCTTCCAGGGTGCTGATGTCCGCGAGCCCCTGCCTGCTGTAATTTCTCCAGCCTGTGCCTGCCTGGTGTCTGTCACCCGTGCTGCAGCCTGGCTGTCCTCTTGGTCCTAGCCCGGGAAAAGGAGGGGGTGGTGATTGCACTCTTGCAGCCTTTCCCTTTCAGGGCATTGCTCGCCATTCTTCCTGATGTTAGCTGGGAGATGAGGCAGGAATTGGGGCTCCTGCTCCTCTTCCAGGACCTCTGCTTCCTTCCTAGCCTCTGTGAGTGCTGCTGCCCCCTCCTCCAGCCCAGAGTCCTGGCTCTTTCCCATGGCCTTCTTCCCTGGCACCCACAGCACCACAGCACTGCAGACGTGTCCGGGTTAGTCAGCCTGGCGCTGTAAAGAGAAATCTCTCTCAAGAGAAGAAAGGTAATAAATGCTTTATGTGAGTCAAAGCTAAGCAAATTCCCTTTTAAGTGAAAATGGGAAGCAATCATGCCTTTTATGCTTTCCCTGGGGTTGGCAATACTTCTTTCCATCCCAACCAAAAAGAGGTTGTGGGAAAGTGCCAATATAGATTGAAAAATAAACTGTCCAGTGGGGTTCTGCACAGCTGTTCAAGGTAATGCCACTGCTTTTTATTTTGGTATTAAACATCCAAGCTTAGAAAAACACATATGGGGTTTATTTTCAGAGGTGTTGATGGGTGTTTGCTGCATCATTTTACTGCCAACAGAAGATAGAAGGATTTGGGCAATATGAAGATCTGATTTGACATGAACCCATCAAATTAAGGAGCAAAAATCAGCTAAATATAAGTAAAGCATTCCTAAAATGTGAACAGAATTTGAGCATTTTGTCTGAATTTAATTTAACCCTTTGCCAGGAACAACTGATAGCTGGAAAACATCACTACATTTTGCAGTCAGAATTGTCTGAAACTTTAATTGTTTGGTGGATGTATTTTAATTGTACATTTCTCTCTTCAAGCCCTTGTGGTTTAGCTAAGCTTAGGGTGACATTGTGAGCTCCTCACTGCATCTCAGAGTAGGTTCACCCTTAGGCCAGGCTTCAGAGTAGGCTTTAGTAGGCATCACCTTTGAGGTTCTATCTCCAGAGGACTCCTAAATCATTGAAGTTTGCAGGTCTCCACTCACTGCCATTTGCAACTGAAGTCAATCCAATGACTGAAACAAAGTCTAGATATGTAGAAGCAAGGTAAGGTCTTGCCTTCCTCTCCCACCTATGCTCCCAAGAATGCCATGTGAGTTTTGAAGCACTATAAGAAACATTTTATTTTCTGTATGGAAATACCTTAACTTTGCATTGTGTGTGTGGTTTCTTCCCCCAGAACAGTGGATTCAGTGCTACAGAGCTGCCAGAGGCTGCCCAAAACAGTCTTGTTCTCATGCTCTGCCATTTTCACAGGACATTGCAGGATTTATGCACATATGGGTGTGTGTGTCTTACACGTGCTTGTGTGTGCCAGGGAATCTGGTGAAAGGCTATAAAAAATCCCAGTCCTCTCCCTGTTCCCTCAATTTCAACCCCAGGGTTGAAGGCAAAACATGCTCAGAGAAATAATGGTAAAATAAATCTTTGTGTGTCTGCTGTAAAGTTTCAGTTTTGTCTTCAATGAAATAAATTCTATCATACAGTAATGTGAGAGTGAGGAACAAGTTCATGTTAGCACGGGTAAGGTCTGTGTTTCAGATTCTCCTTGCTGTTGCTGTGTTTACCTTTTTTATCTTTAACCCCCAGGAACCTATTTCCAAGTTTTCCGGCAGCCTTTTTGATAGCAGTGAAAGCATGCGAGATCAAAGAAATACCAGAACAACGCTTCAAGAAAGGCACAAGTTGGCAATGAAAGGGAAGACTCTTGCAGGATCTAAGCCCAGGGTGCAGCCACCTGTGTCGGCAGCAGGCAGCTTCCCCAGCGAGAGCGGCCGGCCCGCGGAGGAGCTGCTGGTGCTGGATGCGCCGCAGCCCCCGCTGAAGGTTGGAGCTGCTGCAGGGGCTGGGTTTGCTGCTGCTGGGGGCTCTGCATGTCTGTGGGGCACTCCCTGTGTCTGTGGGAAACTCCTCTGGGGTGAGGCAGTTTATGAAAGATGCAAGGAAGGGGGGACAGTGCATGGCAGATGTCATGAGGTTTGCCTGAAAGAGGGTAAGTGCTCCCCATGGCTTACACGGGAAAAGAATTTCCCATTAAAAAACCCCAACAAAGCCCACTTTCCTTGTAGCCATGCATCTTACTTCATATATCCAGCTTTGGTATTGTGAGGCCAAGTCAAAGGTACGTGCAGGTGGGCACTGAGCTGAGTCTTCATTCAGTCCATGGTTTCAAAGCAGTGGTGATAAGTCTTGCATGTGCCAGTGTTGAAGTGTAGCACCATTTTTCACAGGGCTGGGCTCTCTGGGGACATGTCTGCTGATGTTCAGAGTGGGAGGTAGATTTTCAACGTTCACATAATTAATAGGCAATATTTTTGCCTATTAATCAGGTCACTTATCCATTATAATTCTTTTCCAGGTAACCATTACTGTGTGCAGCCAAATGGGGAGTCTTGGTATTAGCATTGCTGGTGGAAAGGGCTCATCTTCATGTAAAGAAAGCAATGAGGTGCATTTCATTGTTAAAAATTTATCTAGTTACAAATGGACTGATGAGTAGTTCCTTGAGTTGCTGTGTTTTGTTGTTTGCTTTCTGAGATTGTCCTTCACATAACATTTCCATCTTTCTAAAGCTAACGAGGGTAAACATAGGTAGCTTATTTCCCAGAGTAGGTTCTGGCATTAGCTTTTGATGGACAGCTCCAGAAGGGATGATTTGGGAGAGATACCCAAATGTAAACCAATGATGTTGCAAAGGCAACCTGATGGCTGAAACACTGTTGTCTAATTGTCATTTTCTGCCTCAATTTGGGGTCACTCTCTTGGCAATCCACATGCCTCTCCCATCTCATTTGCTCATTCCCAGGAGCTGACTTGATTTGAGAGAAATATTTCACACATCTTCTCACTGATTTGTCTTTTAAATAAATCTTTGTTTTCCAGTCAGTTCCCTATGGCACAGTGTAAACAATTACTGACTTTTGTTCATTGTTGTATGTGTCAGCCATGGAGGCTTTTTTTTTTTTTTTTTTTTTTGGCTTGTTAATGTGCTAAGGCATCTAGTTTTTAATTTTATGGAGGCAACAAAACAATAAGTCTTGAAAATTAATTACTTCCCATTTGCTTTTTATATCAATGGGAGAACAATGTGAGAAACTGTCACTTCTGAAACCTATGTTTTGTGTTACCAGGGGATCCTGATTGCACGGCTGCCAAAAGATGGTCCAGCAGACTTGGCTGGTGTACAAGCAGGAGACAGAGTGGCTGAGGTAGATGGGTTGTTTGTCACTGTGGGGTGTGTTCTCTTATTGTTGTCTTTAAATCAAACCACTTAGAGTTGGGGAACTTGACATCCAGATCTAGGCTGGTCTCAGCTTTTTAGATGCTTTCCATTATGAAGAAATGATAATAACATTAAATTGTTGTATTCCTTCTTATTATGTTCTAGTTGTCAGATCTTTATGTTCAAAGGGCTTAACAAAATATTATTCCCTTAAATGAATGATTTACAAAGGAAAATAATGGTCTTAAGTGGTTACGTAAGTATAAATGAAGTATTTGATCCAAGAAGCTTTCTTGTGACATGGTATTGGATTTACTAGACGAGTTTATTGCAGTTGCAACAAAGAAATATAAACTAGATGAGCTTGTTTCCCCAAGGTAATTTTTGGTGGGAAGAGAACAGCTCAAAATAACTCCCCTGATGGAGGCTTGGAGTGCCAAGTGCCAAGGGATAAATGTGCCCCTCGGGCTGCTCCACCTCAAGCCTCATCTTTCCTAGCAGAAGCCACATTCCTGAGCTTCAGAATTTCCCAAGAAGAATGGGGAGAAAATGGTCACATGCAGTTTTGTGTTACATACTTTTGATGTACTGTTTGGTTTCTCCCTCCTGAGAATAGTGGATTAGGGAGTGAACCTCTACAGAATTACTTTAAAGTGTAACTGGTCCATATTTCTTTCAGCTCTTGTTCTCTTAAACTGTCATTTATACTTGGTTAGAGTAATAGTTTTTACTCCAGCATGGTCCATATTGAATTAAGGTGGGATAGAGCAAGCAATATTGTATGTCTGTTAAATTGTCAGGAACAATGATACAACCTGTATCAGCCAAAGACTTTAATGATAAATAAATCTACAAATTTTGTAAAACTATGCTATAGAATTACTGATAGAGGGTGGTGTTCCATTATGTGCAAATATTGGGTTAGTTTGAGAGTTCTTAAAAGGTTAATTGTAGATAAAAATCGGTATAATTCTACATTTTTTCTTTTATGAAAGTTATTGTAACAAATGGGAGAGAATGTAAATAATTCTCTACATATTTCACATTATCACATCATTGGGGAAAAAACACAGGATTTTCAGTTGCTGTACCTTTACCTTCTGAACAGAGTTTCTGGTCAAGTTAATATCTTAAAAATCAACCCCATTGTTCAGGTTCTTTCATGAGGCTGTAATTAATTATTTATTTGGGGGACTATTTGGAATATACTAGGTGTTAATTAATGTCTGTTCACTTAGTCAATAGTGAAACAAGTGAAAAAGAAGAAATTTCTGTTCCATCCTGTTCTGTCCTGCTGTTATTGTACAAATAGTTAGGATTTCTCCATCTCCCACAAGATGGCAGAATCATTCATCTGTTTAAAGAATATAGAAAACAACTCTGCTTTTTGTGAGTGTGTGTGACAAGAAGGAATTAATGTGGTGTGCTATAGAAATACTGCTGTTTTTACCACAGGACTAATCTGTGTACAAATAACAAGCATTTTTCTCTTGACACTGTGTCTTACAACTTTTTATTCTTGAACTGATAATTTCAACAGTTCAAATATAAAATTCACCAAAAATGAGAAACAGCAGGAATTGCAATTTTATTTGCTTTTGTTGTACAACCACATGTAGCAATAGGGCCAGGTGTTTGTATACTAACTTGAGAGGGAGGGAACTCTTCTTCTTAATCAGCATTCAGAATAAAAACATGTTTCTGGTGTTTTCTTTTAAAGGCAACCTTTGTTTCAGAATCTGCTGCTCTTGATGCTGGTCCTAATGAAGCTTCCCCCAAGGGCAGCCCCTCCCCGACAGTCAACCATGTCATAACAGTAAGTAGGATGCCCCCAGTAAATAACAAGTCACTCTTACCTAAGAAATTTGTGTTGTCTTAATGTTTGTGTTGTCTTTATATTAATGGTAGTAAAGACTGGCAGAGAACTCAACACTTGTCAAAGATCAGAGATCCTACCAAGCATTTAGGTGGATGTCATGCAGCTGGCACATGGCTTCTGGAGGAGCTCAGCTCCTGGGTGAGCACCCACATAGCAGAGCAGAGCTTTGGAAGCACTCTGGTTTGGGGGCTTTAGGGTGGTGTCCATCCCCCCAGTCTGAGTCATCATTCTGTCGTCTGGACTCTGTCTCTAGCTAATGCAAGGAGCAGCATTTCCAGGGTCCTTCTTTTAGGAGGGAGAGGGTGAACTGCTGCCTGGAGGTGGTGACCATTTTCATCTTCTGACTGGAGGGAGAAGTTGTGTCACAGGCTAAGACATGCCTGTATTTTAGGTGACTGGTGAGAGAAAGCCTACTGCACGAGTCACAGGAGGCAACAGCTGAGCCTGCAGGGTGGCTTTTAGAAATGCACTTTCTTGAACTTCTCTAGCAAGTTCAACTCTCTGAAGACCTACCCTCATCTTGGTCATCTATGTGCACCACTGAAAGTATGGCTTTACTAGGAAGATATAATAACATCAAGGTATCTGAATAATTAAGGTCAAAAAGCATCTTACTTGTGTGGAGCTTGAAGTACCAGGAAGCTACAACTGTTTCTCCTATGGCAAATGCCAGAGGAATGCTTTGTTTGATTTCTCTTCTTTCAGTCTTTGTCTAAATCTTTCTCCATTAATACCATTCACAACCCAGGTAATGGCAAAAAATGAAAGTATGTATATTATATAAAAGACTATAATCAATGACCATATCAGTTTTTATTAAGCATTTAGATAATTATCATGATTTGTTAGTTGACTGAAAAAGTAAGCAAATAGATCATGCAACTGTTTTTCTCTGGTTTCCTGTGTTAGTCACTTTTTGACATGTTGAGCTACAGCTTTTGTCCATGAGATAAACTAAGAAAGGTTTTCCCTTCTATTAGTTGCTTAAAGAAACTTATTTTGAGGCCTCTGGCCTTCAACACCATCTTGTAGATCATCAGTTAGACCAGTTTTATTTTCCAGCTTAAAACACTTCCATCAATTTGGATTTTTTTTGTCCAGTTGTACCTGGTAGCTGTTTCTTAGTCTTCATCAGCATTGCAGGAAGCATGAGGCTTCCTGTTAGAGGATCCACTGTTGAAAGGGTTTATTCATGCGTTGGGGTGGCTTGGATCTGTTGCAGTAGTATCTCACTTTTAGTATTTTCATCCAAAAAGGAGAAATTGCTGTATTTTTATGTTATATGCCTCCCTTTAAAGTTCTTCAGGTGTAGTGGAGGAGGAGGCAGATTAGACTGAGAGTACTTGGAGGGAGTCAACTGGCTGCAAATGTTCCGAGTGTCAGAAGTAACCAATGTGCAAGTTCTTTTGTGAAGAAACATTAGTGTTTCTGGTCTTGTTTCTTTTTGGAAATCAAAATCTTGGTGCTGTAGCAAATGATACATGTTACTGCCTGTAACCTGGAGCATCATTCATCAATTTTAGGGATTATGGGCTTGTGAGGAGTATCCTGCTGACTTGGGGCTGTTCAATTTCTCATCTGTTCTCACTCTGAAGTCCCTCTTATTCCTCAATAACTGAAGGAAATCTTATTATCTGAAAAATGTTTCCAGCCTGGCTTCTCATGGAGGACTTGCTTTGCATGTTCAGATAAGCAGGTGGCAGTAGGGCCTTAATGCAGAATCTTCTTCTGTGTTAGGAATATAGGAAGGTTCATTTCCTTTGTATTTCTGATCAGGTTTCAATAGAAGATGGTTGTGTCTACATCAAGGGAGGGAAGGATTGAAGCATAATGGCAGAGAAACCAGAGACTCCTATTACTATTCTACAAAAACTGTGTGCCAGATGGTGTCATCTTTCTTCTCCCTTTCTTCCATGTCATCATCCTGCCTTCCGGCACATACTGTCTTCATCTGTTTATTTTTATTGAATTTTAATAAACATCCTCTTTGCATATGCTCTCTGTGATAATATTTGTCTCATTCTCGCTAGCCACAGCCCTCCCCATCTCTGAGCCAGCTGCTCTGGCATTACAACAGGCAATGCTGCTGCCAGGCTCAGGTTTCCTCTGTTTTCCACAGGCTTGGTTGCTCTAACTGCTTCTAAAAGGCTCATGTAATTGTTAACTCATCCAGCCAAACTCAATTTCAAACCCTTTGTGTCAGCTTTAAGATTTCATGACAGTGTGAATGACCAGTAATTAATTGGACAAACTAAATGTTCTTTCACAGTGAGTCATTGTTTTGCAAAAGAAAAAGGAGAATCTTCCTTGGTTTTAATTATAATTGAGTATTTTGCTGACATGTGGATAGAACTTTAATTACAAGTAGATAGTTTTTACATACAGTATTTTATAGACTTGCCTCACTTATGCTAATCATGCCTCAAAATTATGATAATATATTTTACTTTATTTTTTATATATATATATATAAATACAAATATTTGAATTGAACCTAAACAAAAAAAAAAAAAAAAAAAAAAAAAAAAAAAAAAAAAAAAAAAAAAAAAAAAAAAAAAAACGGGGAAAAAAAAAAAAACCCACAAAAGCAAGAACAAAAAAAAAAAAAAGTCAGGGATATAAAGAGAAATGCCCATACCGACTTTAACAGAAGGAACTTTAACTTGGATTCTGGAGTCTTCATTTCCAGTTTTGTTATTGTTTCCTATCCATCCCCTCAAACATAGAGCCAACTCTTCACAATCTTTCTCCATCATAAATATTTTCATTCAGCCTCTGACTGAAATTCCCAGAGGATTTTGTCTGACTGAATGGAGAGTGCTGACAGGTTTCAGCATCTTCTGTCATTTCATAACATGCATCATCATGCCATCTTCTTCGACTCATTTTTGGGGCTATTAACGTAATAAGAATATTAGGTAGTTTGTAATTATTAAGTTTTCATGAAATTTTAATCTAGTATTTAACTTAAATTGTTAGCATATTATTTGATTTAATTTTATGCCTTTACCCTGGGAATTTCCTCAATTATATTGTTTCATTTAGTTCACCAGGGATACAAGTGTCGCTGATACTGGGATTTTCAAGGAAGGTTAAAGTAAGAATTACCAATTAAAAGTGATTGTTTGAATAAATAAATAAATAAAAGGTGAAGCTTACAGTGCTGAAAAAATCTGAAGAATTTCTTTAAAAGGCTAAAAAAGCCAAATTTTTTGACTGCTCTGTTAAAAATCCAGAGATACAAAACGTTCCTAAATCTGCTGAGAAAACAGATAAGTGTACTAGAACCTGTGACATGTATCAAAATTAAATCCTCTTGTGCCTGCAGAGGTGCATAAGCAGGTACCCCATCTCCCACAGTATGCAGCTGCTGCTCTTCTGCCTTTGTCTCGTATTGTTCATATGCAAGTCGTGAGAAATCTTACAGGGGTGAGAATCCCAGCAGATCTACCTTCTTCATTTCCAGCTGATAAAGACTTTCCAAGAAAAAACCTTGATCCACTTACATTAGTTAAAAATCTTCAAAAATCTAATTATCAAACCCTTTATTCATCTGAGCATGTTCTAAACATATCAGAAAACTGAAATCATACAACATAAAATAAAACATTTGTTTCTTTAATCATTGTCTTACTTTGTTGAATTTCAAAAGCAAAGCCAGTGGAGTACTCAGGTCAGAGAAACAGTATGAAAGGAGAAAACTAAAGTCAGATTCAGAATGTCCTTATCATGAGCAAAGCCAGGTTTCTTCTTAAGCTTGTTTCAAACAGTAAAGATCTTGCTCACATCACAGTGTTTGACTGACCTATAGCACTATAAGACCTACTACTTCAAGTTTCTTATGAAGAACTGCTTTATCCCTTCTCCAAAACATTTTCATGACTCTTTTAATCTTGTCAGGTAAGGGCATTGGTGTTTTTATGTTATTCTTTTTTTCTATTCTGACAAGCTAAGTTTGTTTAAGAAGTCAGGAATCTAACTCTCCACTGCCTTGCATCTTGTGCAGGTTTACATATGTTTGCAAGAAGCCTGTGAGCCTTGTTGGGTTAGGTAACCTCAGTCATCGTGTGAGCTCCAGTGGAGTGTGAGCACCCGTGTGCCGTGTGATTGCCTCCTCCATTTCATCTCCTAGTTTGCTTCTGCTTTTATCTAACTGAGTATTTCTGAGTCACCATGAAAGATGGAACATAAAAGGTGTGTGTTGTAGACACTCCATAGTGTAGTGGTTAGGGAACTTATTTTGTGAATTTGAAATTAAGTTCCTGCTCCCAACAAATGCTTCTGTTTGCACAGTGTATCTTTTTTCTCTCCTCCTTTTAAGTAGTTTTCTCATACACTCAGCCAAAACTAACTAATTTCAGACTTTAAGTTCTTGGATTTTGCAGAGCTTGTAATTAACAATGCTAAATAGGAAAAACCTTTTAAAAAGACAGGACATTAATTGATCTTTTCAAGGTACCATATTAAAATACGTCCAAGTTAGAGAAAATCTACAAAGTGAGCCCATCATATGGTAGACAATATAAGCACTGCAGACAATAGAAGCAAAAACATACAAAAGACAGACTGACTCAAGCAAGGCAACTTGAACTGTGCTGTAGGATAGCATATTATTTGAGAATAAAAGAGGATAAGTATTTAAAGAACTACACAAATAATAAACAATGTCCTCCCTTGTGAAAGGCATCCTCATGGACTCTGGGAGTACTGCAGGGGAAGAGACTGCACTGAGTTCCTGCAGGCTTTCAGACAGCCACTGCCTTCCACAGGGGTGACGAGTTTTCTTCAAAAAATCAAAGGGTTGGCAACTTGGACCACGGGTAGCACTGCTTATGGGGGCAATGCCTTTTAAGTCTCCTGATGTGGTCAGAGCAATGCATTTTCTTTGATGTTTTCATAGCATCAGGCCATAAATGATTAGAAACTTATACGAAAGC